TATATATCATTGTTTTATGCTGAATTTTATGACAAAACATAATTGATTGGCTTAATATGTTTCTGAAGTTCCAATTGCAGAGCTTTTGGATGGTCGTTTCCTGTGTGGATTCATCTTCCATTGTTGGTAAGAAACAGCAAGAAGAAACTTTCAAAGCGTGACAAGGTTCATATGCAGCATCAATTTTTATTTTTTCGTCATGAATTACAAAATATAATGAAGTTCTTTGAAAATAAAAATTCTGGAATGTTTAAAATATGAGTATTCTTATCAGATATGCCTATAGGATGCTTTTGTGGAATTTTATGATATCGACAAAGGGTATTTGCCAATTGCTGTGCTGAATTACTTATGTCGAAATGGAAGTGGCATTCGAGACTTTGATGTATCAAAACTCTACACATTAGATGAGATGATAAGAAAATTTGATTTTCACTTAATTGGCAGGCGAAATATAATGGTATGTTGGAAGATATATAATTCATATTTAACGCCTATGATTTTTTTTGTGCATTACATAAATTTTACTGAACAGATAATCAAATAGAGGTAAGTTACTTATTTCGAATTTTATCGTTTTAATTAGTTTGTCTTCCAACCGCAATTTACTTAAGTACTATTAGGTTTGTTAATCATTATAACTGATGTATTCAAAAAGTATGTAATAATTTTAATTTTAAAATCTTTAGTTGGATCAATTGGTTCTTGACGCATATGGTTACAAAGCGATACAGAATGCTGACTTCAATAAGCAGTTGGTGCCAGAAATTATGAGGCGTCTTCAGAGATCATTTCCAGAAGCTGCCTCAGAATTGATTGCCAACCCTGATTATGTTAATAAAGTGCTAGATTTGTTTAGACGAATGGATCAAAAGTTATGTTACTTAGAACAGTTAACCGACAGTGACTTCAAATATTACTTCTTACGACCAAATAGTCCAGAAAAAACGGTTTATGAATTTGATCCGCACATAGTATCGTCCATTCTCAATGATTTCATGGATTGCGAAGACTGGAGTATGGATTGTATGAAAGCGTTGGCTTCCACACATGGTATCAAATGTGCCCAAATATTTCAAATTATACGTTTAGCACTAATCGATTGCCAAAGCGGGCCACCGATTATGGAATTGCTTGAGTTCTTCGGAAAAAAGGAATGTCTAAAAAGATTTTCGGTCATGGTTGAAATGTTAAAAGAATCGAAGTGGTCCTCAACATCAACAGTCTAAGTATTTCGTTCTGATTTTCTATATTTTTGTTCATTCGATTTCCACTATTACCAATGTTAATTTTTTCAATTCCTTTTCCCCTTCAGGTAAATCCATCCATATGAATGTCGTACCAACTTTGAGAATACGAAAAATTTATAACAAAAAAATAAAAATGACAAACATGAAAAAGATTTGTAGTGTTCACCTGATGCCACCGCTAACGCAGAAAGGGCTTAAAGTGGTCCTTTTAATCACATATTTTTCTAATGTTAGAATTAGTAAAAACAATTACTTTTTTCTTTTGAAATTGTTTATCTGTTAGTTATTTAAAATTTCTTATTTAGAGAAAAGGTACAAGATACTGTCATCGTGATTACGTAAATGTTAGAAGCTGACTTATCAATTGCATCATTAATCAATCAATTTCCATTGGCAATTTCCAAGTTTTATTTCTCATTATTCATTTCAAAGGGAATTGATGGTTGAAAAAATTTCTTTCAACATTTGAAAATTTGTTATTTGAGCAGAAAAAAAAGTTGAGAAAAGAGCGGTAGCTTTGAAAAGCTGTTGAAAAGTAATAGGTAATTTGATACAATTAGCAAAAGACACAATCTTGTAGTAAATACTCTTTTTTTTTCACTCGATTGGGATTTCATACCAAACAGTGATGCACTAAGCGTTGTAATTTAATGAAATTTTCAAGTTGGAATTCAAAACCCTAGCAATATGATTTTTATTTTCTTTTTAATATGTATCTGAATTGTTGATATTTTTAGAAGCAATGCTTTACAAATTCAAGAATATACATTTTTAAATGTTGAATTAACGTAATTGTGAGAGAAATAATGCAACGAAAGTATAAATAGAATAAACTGATGTATTTGAGTTGTGTACCAGAAAATAATACATGTGACTTATTATCTGCCGTGTAATAATGACGTTATCAGTTTATTCGATCGTATTTTTGATGTGTATCGCTCAGTGAGAAAGTTTTTCTTTCCAAAATTCCTGTGCCATTTGTTTTCACGTATACCAATGATATATATATATGACATTTAGAACAAAACCGTATGCGACTTTTTGCTACAAATTCAACTATTTTTTTGAGTGTGAAACACGCACAGTGTTTTCTGGCATTGGTACCTATTTTTCAGAACACGTCTCTCACTAAAATAGCGATTATTTAAACGAATTCAAATCATCGCATTTTCGTCCCTCTCCATTCGAGTCTTCCGGATCTCCAAAAACTCGCTCTCCCAGCTAAAACCGGGACCTTCTCTGGTTAGTGACACAGTTTGCGAATGAAATATTTTTTGGTTTTCAGGTGGGGAAGGGTTTATGTCACAATTATTGTTAATTGAAGTTAGAAATTTAGGAGTTATTCTCGAGATTATTTCCGAAATTATTCTTGCACTTCGAATGTTTATTGTTATGATGAAAGGCAACAGTAGAATATGATTTATGAAGAGGGTTAGAAGTATTTGTCACTTTTTAATCAAAATATTTTCAGATAATGCTATAAATAGAATAACCATGTGTTTCACTTGATAAAATGTTTTGAGGAGATTTCTTACTAGATCTTAAAGGTATCCTGAATTGCTTAATGAAAAGTTAAGTTGCCTTCTCTCCATCTACTGATAACTTTTTGTTAAAATGTAACATCATTTCCCACTTTCTATGCCATCATTCTGCTATTTCATGGCTATCAATCTTATTGATTTCTTTGTCATGCATTATTCTTAAGTAAAATTTGTTGATATTATTTTTTATGATTATGTTATTAGAGATTTGGACTTCTTTTAAAGCAATTACAGATATTTAATGCTTCGCAAACTTTGATGATATCGTTTACATTGTAATCGTTATGGATATTTCAATGAACAGAACCGAAATTCCTCCGTTTCACAGGAAAGTACAGACGAGTACGATTGATATTCCAGGTCTACACTGAAGCTAACTATCGAGTTTGGGAAGGAAATATACCCTAGTAACATTAATAATATTTATTAATGTATGTATTTAATTTAAAGAATAGTTTTTGCTAAGAATAATTCTTGATTTGATTCAGATAGACATAAGGTTGTTGCAGATTTTGATATTCATTGTCAGTAGAGCATATCAGTTGATAATTTTTTGACAAATGATCCTTGATCAGTTTTGCGTAATCATTATGATTACGTTTTATAGTCTCAATAATGTTTCTGTCTCAGTTGATGAATTTTTGTTCAAACTAACTATCATACATCTATCTTAATAAGAAATTGAAAGAGATTGCTTTGGGTAAGACATATGATTAGAGTACAGGGATACTTGCTGAAGAACGTAATAACAAACTGAATATGAATACTAAATTGTCATTTTGCAAATTGTCCTATATTGAATGAACATTTTTAATGTTTATTTTACATTGAATTTCCTGGAAATGTGATGCAAAGACGATATACGTGCTGAGCATGAAGATGGACGATAAATCTGATGATAAGATTTGTACGGTAGAGTTTAGAATCATGATAAGCCAATGAAATGTTTAAGAAAGAGGCATGCAACTTCACACCATTTCAGTTTAGATCTCTGTCAATGTTATTTTGATCTTATTTGAATTGAGATTGTTTTATTGCTGTTATTTTATTGATAGATATATTGGATATCAAGATGTTATTGTTCTTATCCGAACTATATTGTTTGTTTTAACATGAGTGAAACAAGAGACATTCGTAACGACATTCTCTTAAACGCTATTTTATTGGCAGATAATTATTTCTCGGTAATTTCAGGATTGTGAGTTCGAAATGTATAAGAATAGGTGGTGAAGTTGGTTTTGTACTTATTTGCATTTTCATTTTTCTGATATTCAAGTGATTGTACTTTTTTCGATTTCGTAATCAAGGCAATAAGTATGCTAGACGGTATATGGAGATGGAGTCTGAATCAGCTCATGTACAGTGTATTCATTTTGCATATATATATTGGATTGGTTGCATGCGGTAAAGCATACGGCAATGAAAAAATTGATAGAATCGCTCTCAGGTAATTTTGAGTGAGTCATTAGATCAATCAGTTGACGTTAATCTTTTGAAGTGTCGGATTTGCAAAATAAGTTAGAATGACAAGAATAAACAGTTGACTGTTTGATAATTTTTCCTATATTTTTAATCTCCACATAGGAATCGCACTGAGAACAGTTAATTAACGCAACACGCTGGTAATACGATGAAACTGTTAGTACTACAAATTCATATCGCTAACCGTTATAACTTTTCCTGGATTTTTTGGTCTTCCTAACTTATTTGATACTTCTGTTGTGCATATTTTTTGCGTGATTTGATGAAATCAGTAGCCTGTATAGAAGTGTAATGAACAGATTCCGGTAATGCAGATTCAACAGCGGCAAACATTTGATCAGTTTTGGAAAATGGGAAGAATTCTTTGCTAAAATCGCCTTTCTATCAAAATTTCCTTTGTCGCATGGTTTTAGACAAAATAATCAGTTTTTATATGTTAGACATTTCTCGTTTTTTTTTCAATTTGTTATTGTGATACTCCCTTATAGGTTGCAAGCAAAAGAAATGTTCATGCACGGGTATAATTCGTACATGAAATATGCATATCCTCATGATGAGCTGATGCCACTGTCATGTAAGGGACGGCAACGAGGTGTTACACCACCACGAGGGGATGTTGATGATGCTTTAGGGAAGTAAGTTTTCTTTTAACTGCTCACATAATTTTCTGTTTACTGCAGACTTAGGTGACATCTATAAAAAACGTCACAAACTTTGTTTTGGTAATCATTATCATCCTCAACTTTTCCCGTTTTATAAAAAGAGAAATATGTGTTAAAATGAAGTGGAAAATATAATGATGTATTTCTTTCCACTAATTTTTATATTAAAATTCTATTAGATAATTGCTTTCAAAATGTAATGCCAAATTAGAAGTTACAATAAAAGAGGATATTGTTTTTACTAAAATTTGTTAAATTTCATATTTTATTTGAAATTATCAGCAAATTTACATTTAGTCATCACAAAATTACTGATGACATTTTATGCAAAAATTAATTAATAGAATATAAAAACACAATTCACAATTTTCCTCTCTCCATCTCTCTGTCTCTACTATTGAAATTTCATTTTTTTGGAAGTTCTACTCAGGAATTTCTTCAAATACAGTTCTATCGGTTTCCGCTTGATACGTTTCCAAGCATTTCGATCTCGGCCCAAGTAGTATAGTGGTTAGTACTCCACGTTGTGGCCGTGGCGACACAGGTTCGATTCCTGTCTTGGGCAGCGTATTCTCGTAAGCTTCTCAACACCGCTGCTAGCAGTGGCGAGGGACTTTTTCTCTTTGTTTAGTATGTATTCCTGGGAGACAATCTACGTTTTGTTTAGTTATATAGTCGTGTTTGTGAAAAAAGGAGCTCAGATGTTAGTGATTTTTTTGGCTTTATTTCTGAGATGAAAACACTGTATTTGATAAACATTTATAGTTTTTCACTGACTCTTGTCGACTCACTGGATACGCTAGTCGTTTTGGATGAATTGGATGAGTTCGAAAAGTCTGTGGAACGAATTGTAAAGAATGTTCGCTTCGATTCAAACTTAGTCGTGTCCGTTTTTGAAACGAATATTAGAATGGTGGGAGGATTAATATCAGGTAAGCTTCAATTTTTTTCTTTTCGAGGATAAGGCCTAGCTTGCTGATTATTTGGATAGAAATCTGCTCCTGCTACTTGTATCATATATCGAGTTGCACTATAAATTGATTAGAGCTCAAATGCGAGTTGCGGCGCCATTCATTTTAATCTTACTGTTGGTTAAAATTGTTTATGCTACCACTCTTTAAGCTTTCACGGGTATTCACTTATAACTTTTGTCACTGATAAAATCCACGTATATTTGAAAAGCAAATATATAAAGCTTTATAGGCCACGTAATGGCTAAACTGGTACAGTCAAAGGACGAGAATCGTTTAGGATGGTATAAAGACGAATTGTTGCAGATGGCTGCTGAATTAGCTGATAAGCTTCTTCCTGCTTTCAACACGAGCAGTGGAATTCCTTATTCTAGAGTAAATTGAGCTTTGTTTGTAATACAAGATTCTAGAATAATTAAAATATGGAATTCCTTATTCTAGGGTAAATTGAGCTTTGTTTGTAATACAAGATTCTAGAATAATTAAAATACTGATTTAGTACGGTTGAATAGAATTCATCAACTGTAATGAATACTTTGATTTAAAAAAGACGAAATCAATGCTTTGGAAGATGAAACAGTTTTATGAAGCGCCTTTGCATCCAATTTGCAGATAAATCTTAAATATGGAATGTTGGATTTTCTGCGGCAACAGCACGATACTTGTACAGCTTGTGGAGGAACGATGATTCTCGAATTTGCTGCACTAAGTCGACTTACGGGTAAACCAATCTATGAGGAAAAAGCTCGCAAAGCAATGGATTTTCTTTGGGCTCAGAGACATCGTGGGAGTGATTTAATGGGTACTGTATTAAATGTACATTCTGGAGATTGGATAAGAAGAGGTATTGAATTTCACTAATTTATATTTAATTTATTTTTTAGTTTAAATTATAGTGTATCCTTTATTATTATTTATATTTTTCCAATGCTAGCGTGAACTCTGTTTTTTATGAAACTGCATTCTATAGTATCAACAATTTTAGAATTTTAATATTACCAACATTATTGTAGATCAGAGGATGATGACACTATTGGTTAATATATCTGAAAATATATACTTTGTTTATTACAGATGCAGGTATTGGTGCAGGAATCGATTCTTATTACGAGTATTGTTTGAAGGCATATATTTTATTGGGCGACGAGAGATATTTATATCGCTTCAATAAGGTCAAAATCTTTATCCTGTTAAATTGGATTGGTTAGGTTTTTGTGTGTATGTGTATGTATGTATGTATGTGTGTGTGTGTGTGTGTGTGTGTGTGTGTGTGTGTGTGTGTTAATAAAATATGATAATTAGAATTGATCTCGTTAGGCAACGTAGAGTACTTTTGATATCAGCTTGTCTAATTCCTGATCAATGATAAACTTTTGCAGCATTATGATGCTATAATGAGGTATGTTAACAAGGGTCCATTATTTATTGATGTTCACATGCATAAACCAACAGTTGCTGCTAGAACTTACATGGATTCCCTGCTGGCGTTCTGGCCGGGCATACAAGTTTTGAAGGGTGATTTGAAAGCAGCTATCGAATTTCACGAAACACTTTATCAAGTGATTAAGGCAAGTTTTTTGTTAGCTTATGATTTAGGGAAAATATTTTTCTGATTTTCCTAACAGTATGCTCTAGAACAGTAGTTTTTTATAAGAAAAAAGACTAAGATTTCGTGATTCTGTTCTTCATCCTCTGTTTATATCTACTGATGACATGAATTATTAACTGTTTGAGTGAATTATTTTGAAATTCTAATATATTTTTGACTTTCTGACATAGCTTTTAAGCTGTATTAAAAACATATTCTGCTTTAGAGGCACAAATTCTTACCGGAAGCATTTACGCATGATTTACAAGTTCATTGGGCTCAACATCCTATTCGACCAGAATTTATTGAAAGCACCTATCTGCTGTATAGAGCAACGAAGGATGAGCATTACTTACGTGTAGCCCAAAATGTAAGCATTTATGGGTAATGATTTTTACAATTTCTGATTCATTCAAGTAGCTTTTTAGAGGGTTGTTTTGGTTTTTCCGTTTTCATTCTGAATATTATTTTTTTGGCAGATTCTGGATAGTATGAACAAATTTTTGCGAGTTGAATGTGGATTTGCTGCTGTCAAAGATATCCGTTCAATGAATCATGAAGACCGGTAAAAATTCATGTGTTTATTTCTTTTCATGGATAAAATTTTGTTAAAATTCCGAAATTCTAGAAAATTGCAGGTTTTTATAGATGTTATTCAGTCTTTCTCTCCTTGTAGATGTTATTCAGTTTCTTTTTAGAATGGATTCTTTTGTGCTTTCGGAAACACTGAAATATCTATATATGATTTTCACGGATTCTTCTGACTTACCAATTGATTTGGATAATTACGTTCTTACTACCGAAGCTCATTTTATTCCGCTATCAGTCGGTGATACTAATAACAGCGAAAAAGTTGGTTTTGTTTGCTGAAATCATGCTGCAGTAGTTTTTAATTTGTTGAAAACGATGATAGCATCTTTGTAACTTTTGAAGAGTACTTCAGTTGCTACCACTATGTTGCTATGTATAACTTAGTAGTAAAATATAAGAATGTTGTATTTTACTGTATTTTGTGGATTCATCAATCCGTAGGTGTTGTCAAATCCGAAAATTGGCAGTTATTGTATTATTGTATAGATTATTTCATAAATCGATTTTTACAGCTTCCACGTCGTTTGATCATTGATCCGGATGAAATAATTGATGATGAAAATGCATTAATGACTAAAAAATTTCAATCAGCATGTCCTGCAACCGTGATTAATGAGAAGTATGATAGTTTACCAGCTTATGCGGAAGAATTGCGTAACATTGTACAGAGTGTCGTCAATGAACTAACGAAAAATTCGGAAAGCTTCAGTAGTTGTTCAAAAATGTATGAACTTTTATTTTATAGGATAAAACATATAAGATGAAACACTATTGAAATTTCCTTTTAGAATTTCATGAAATTCAGAAGTTGTGAATAAAACATTTCTGCTTGGTAATTAACAACACTGCTACCAATTGTATGAGCTCAACAGATGAGAAAAAATATCAGTAAAAATTAGTATGCTGTTGTTTTTAAGTTATGCAGTCGATATTCATTTATCAAGATCATTTCTTCCTACTACTGCAATTATAGCTTCCTAGATTTAATTGTTAGTCCACCCACTGTATTATTAATAATGCTGAAATTGCTCAAATACCTATTTTAGTGATCACCCGCTACTAGATAGTGTATATCCGATGGAATTTATATCAGCTCTAGTGAGTATTGTGGGAGGTATTGTGAGTCAATATTCGCTGTCTCCGCATTTATTCTGATTTATTTAAAACTTTGGCCCAAAAGGCACTTTCAACAGTTAAGCTGTTTTTTTGTCTTGTTTTTTGTTTTACTAAATTGATTTTCAGGCCAAAACGTCTAAGTGCCTGGTCCTTTAGTGCAACAAATGTTGAACATATGAAGCAGTTAAAGCAGATGGGAATCCAGATGCAATTTCAAGTTGATGGACATGTTCATCTTACCCATTCACCGGAGTCGGTATGTTCTGATTGTTTTGAAATACTTAGTATATTGCTTATCACAGGAGAAGCAATTCAATAACTCTCGGATTCGATTACGTTTAGAGAAGAAATAGATTAGTTTTTATTCATTTCAAACAACTGGCTTGCCATTTATCATAATAGTTTTGTGTTGGAGATTGTCTACTTTGATTGGTTTTGCATGAAGTATTGTGAAGTGCATCTTTTTCTTTTTTTTTGCGTGCTCTTTTGCAAAATATAAGTGATGATAGAAGATTTCTCACTCTTTTGCGTGCTCTTTTGGAAAATATAAATGATGGTAGAAGATGGATGGTCCGCTTCGCCCTTTATTTTAAAATTTATACCTTGAAATTTTATGAATCTTTCTATTCAAGATTTTAATTTTAGACCTTATAACGATTAATTTTCCTATTTCCAAGAAAAATTTTTCTTTATTTTCAGTTTCTGGCTCCTTTTTGTCATAGAAATGGGTGGTAATTGGGAGAATGAACAAAAGAAGATAGTAAGTTAAGTTCAAAGGCACCTGTTTCAGGGCGAAGCGAATGAATTCACTACCGAGAGCGAAACACTGGCTGAGAGTGATAATATGTTGAATAGTGTGTGCATGTTGGATAACACAGCATCGGTGAAAAAGCAAGCAAATATCTACATCGTTCATCCATCGCATGCTGCCGTTACCCAATTACTCTCCATTATCATGCTTGTTATCCTACTATGGCTTTCTGTCATGATTGTGGCTGGGGTTGTTGTGTGTGTTGTTGTTTGTGGCTATCGAATAATAGCTATGAGGCGATCAACTGTTAATCCAGTAAATATAGAAGAATCAGATGCTTCTGAATGTGTGGTCATAAAGGATGATAATGACGATAATGATGATGATGACGATGATGGTGATGATGATGATAATGTAATAACTAATGGAAGCAGTTAACGCATGCAGCAAAATGTTGTGCTCTATGGGACGAAATTATTGCTGGTATTTAATTTCTAGAAAACACCCGATAAATTTATTGATCGGTTGTCCCAATTTCAACTCTTTTTTGGGAAGTAATGATTTAAAACCTGAATTTTGTTTAATGTATTCTCCGACATAGGCTATATTAGATGAAATTCAAAAAATTTAAATTACTTTATAGTCAACGATTCCTTTTGAGGTAACAAAACTACTAGCAGCAATACTTTTCGTAATGGTATAGTAGTCACTTGGCTCCTTGTCATTTGCATATCATTGAAATATTTTATGATTTTTATTCATAATATTTTTAGCATTATAGTGATGAGGAATTCCTTTATGAAACAACTTTATTTTTCCATATTTTGGGAAGGGAGTTTTTACTTGAAAATATTAAGCTACTAAAAGTTGAAGGAAGAAAAAAAAATATTTGTCAACATATCTTGTTGTTATTGTGAATTCTTTTTTTCGAAATTCAAATTCGAAATGAACGTGAAACACATATAAGTTTTTGGTATTTTCATGAAGAAAAACAATTTTTGCAATAACAAAATAAATTTTAGATGTTTTTCGTAAAAGTTGTTTTGCTAATTTTCATAATAAATGTAGAGCTGCCACTTCAACAGTAATAGCAATGTAGTGTAGTTTATATTTCCAGCTATATCATATCTATATCATATCAGCTGTAAACTTTTTCGTTTCTTTCGAAAATGTCCTTTCTATTTTATTCGTTTTCTCTTGTACAGTACTTTTAACCATAAAATGTATAAATAAAATCAAAATCTTTTTTCTCTGCATTCATTAATTTCAAGCATCGATGATTGGTCCAAAACATTATTTGAGTTGGATCTTACTTCCAAGTTAGGACATTCAATTTCTTAACTTTCTTCAATTTCTCTTCTAATTTCGTTTCTTTTCGCAGATTTATTTTTTGTTTCTCCAAAATTAACCCATTGTAACAAAAAATTATTCCTCTGTTTTTTCATACTTTTAACGTTATTTTAATTCAGTCTTGTTTTATCAGCTTTGGTCTCTTTTTGTTACTTTCAGCATATTTAGATCTTTTTATGATATGGATCTATTTTACTGGAGTATGCTCTACACATTTTAATTTATTAATCGCTAACGGTAAACATAACGCACTGCCATAGTACTGTCTAACTAGGGATGGATTATTAGGAATAACCTTGTTTAATAGCAATGGGATTCTTATTAGAATTAGCTACATTTGATCAGTTTTTATTTTGCTAGAATATTTAATGTGTGAGAAAGTTGGAGTTTTTCAGCCTTGTTTAAAATGCTTTACATTTCATTACATAACAATTTGTAATGATTAATAAATCACTTTGGATTTTTGTATTTATTAATTAAACCTTACTACCATTTTAATGTTCGTTAGTCGTAGTTGTCTAAAAAGAATTTATCGCAAAAAACCAGAGAAGCAATGATGATTTGCTTAAGAATATGATTAGCATTGAAAGTGAATGTTGGGTTTTTTAGGCTATTTCTCCGGAATGGGCCGTTCTTGGTAGTGAGTTTATTCAAGAAATGATCATGATGGCAGGCTCCGAGAAATATGGACTTGGTTTGTTTTTTATTAAAAACTAAATTTTTGCGCTGTTTTGTTTTCTTTCAAAAACGTCATTGTTATTCAAATTTTGTCTCGAAAGTTAATGTCATTACAATCATAATATTAAGAATAAGGCTTATGATATCACTCTTCTAATCTTTTCTAATTCTTACTATACTTTATTCCTAAATTCGGTTGATCCAATCAATACTAATACTGCTCGAAATCGGGCCGCCTTAGGTTTTAATGATGATCGAATTGTCCAAGTGGTATCGCAGCCTGTATTTGGGACGCTGCATTGGCGAGCTGCATCTGCGCAGTTTGGCCAAAATTTGAATCGTAAGGCAGTAAGTTACATTTTGAACATTAACTCTGCTACTAACAGTTTGGACAACTTTACAGAAATATGTTTTTCTTCTGTAAAGGAGCTCTGTAATAATTGCAAATATTCTACAGCCCTGCGGAGTGAGAAGAAGTAATAGGTTAGAAACTTCGTACAAAAATGCGTCCATTATTATTTATTTTTGTTTATTTATTTAATAATTTTTACCAAAAACTAATTGATCGTATTGTCTGGATTCGTTCAGATAATCGCAGAAGTACAAATTGCTGTACCTTTTCGTGCCTGTGGACCATTGACAAATGCACTGAGAATAAGTGGTCGTATTGCAATTGTTCAACGCCAGGATTGCATGTTTCAAGAAAAAGCGCGTTATGTTCAGGAAAGTGGTGCTGTTGGTATCATTATTATTGGTAATACTTTTAAAAAAATTGTATTATTGCATATTTTCAACACGAACTAAGAAATGTGAAATGTGTCTTGTGGTTTAGTCATTATTTGGAGAATTGTGAAGTTCTATATTGTTCAGAAAGTTTACAATGCTTGAGACAAACAGAAATATTGATTTATATTCCAAAATTAAATAATTCTTGAAGATGCAATCTTTTGTTGTAATTTTTGATCCAATATTTTTTTTCTTTTAAATTTTGACTATTTGTTTCTAATGCAAAAATTTTGCATTACAGACAACACTATTGGTACAAGTATCGATTTGCTGCCACCGTTTGCAATGTCTGGTGATCAGACCATCAAAGATGATATCGTTATCCCGGCTGTTTTTCTTTATAACAAAGAAGGTCTTGCTTTTATGGAGCACATTGTGCACTATCCAAATTCTCTAGTGCGTCTCTCTGATCGACTCTCAAATCCATCCTACTTATTTGAGAATTTTGCACGTCACGGTAGAAACAAATATCCGTCGAATAAACCGAATTTCTTGGAGGTTTGCTTGCTTGGAATTTAAAACTTCAAATTTCTGTATTTCAAGTTTCATGGCAGCATTTTTTACCCTTCATATCTGTCTTTAGTAATTGTTTTCAGTAATTTTGCATTTCCATAAATTTAAGGACATGGATTATTCGGAGGATATCATTGTGATTGATAGTTCTTTGCCAGCTGTGCTGCTCAATTTTCGATTCGCTTCAATTAGTACAGAAAATAACACCGAAGATAAGCAAAAGGTTTGTTCTCCGTCTCTTAAAGTTTTATTACTCTTCAGTTCTTAATGCTTACTGTATAATTTCAAGTTCTCCTTTACCTTTTTCATAACTGCGTTTTAACTCTGTCATAGTAAGAAAATATAAAGATGTACTGACAGTTTTTATGCCTTGAAACACCATAACATACCATTGTATACTATCGCCCCTTTTGAATATAATCTTTCCTTATCTTGTGCAGTATGAAACAAAGTGATGCTAATAGAACTGTGAGCAGGATTTCGAATAAAGCGATTGCATTTACAGTTGAGACTACCGTTGGTTCATATCACAGATATGCATTCTTTTTTTTTTTATCAAAGTTAATAAATTTTGATGGAAGATTACCGAAATAATAGCAAATGCTCAGAAAATAAATGTTGCAGGTAATAGAAGAAAACATCGAGGAAATGCAAAAACTATATAATTTTGCAACGGAATCCGATACGGTGATGTTTTATAATGTAATACGTCAAATAGGTTACTGGCAGCTTGGCCTAAATATGAAGCCAACAGAGGTTCAGTTAAGAAAGTTCTTTTTGCTGATACCAACAGTAATTAGGTTACAGCAAATTACTCGAAAGCCTAAAAAATTACTAGGACCAATAATCACTGTTAGTTGTCGATCATGGGATAAATTATTCGATTGCCAACGAATCAGGTGATTGAGTTGAAGGTGAGACGAGCAAACTCTGTGTATTTATATCTGCAGGTTCTTTTTTAATTTAATTATTATACTTCAAATACTAGATTTTATCTGTAAACGTGTTTTTTTTTGAAATGCATGTGCCAGTTTTCTTGTATTCCTGAAGAATGTGTAAGCATTTTTTTGGTATTATTGTTGAATGATCTGTTGCAACCAATAATAGATTTTCAAAGGAACAAATATGAGAGTTGTATTTCTTACACGAAATGTGATTGGATGGAAAGAAAAAGAAAATTTGCTGCTCCATTTGAATAAATTTAAGAAAGGGTATTTTTTCATAGCTTGAATGTTTTATGGTACCGTTAACCGGCTAGCCATATTTTTTCTACGGTTTTCATGTATGTTGTATAAATTCTTTTCTTGCATAACAAATGTTTTTTAAGAGATCTGCAAATTGAGAAATTTTATCTTGTAGTGTTTTGTTAGTTTTATGTAACATATGTGGTAATTATCACTTTAATAATTTGATTGGAATAGAGTGTTACAAAAAATTCACTTCTTAGGAAGTTAGTGCAAGAGCCATTAATTACTCATTATAATATTATAGTATCTCGAAGGCGACGTAATCATGCATGATCGTAGTTATATCACACTTTTTGCTATGCGCTGAATCTGCAATAGCTGAAAATGTTAACCGAAATTGTGATAAAATTTTTTTAACAGATCGAATTAGATAATTTTAACGGCACAATTTTACAATTTTAACGGATCGAATTAGATAATTGTTGCATATATCAAACTTGTCTTTTTTTATTCTAAATCAAAATGTCTAATTTGTGATAGTATTCGAATTGCTGAGAGGGATCGAAACATTTTTCTCATTTGGAACAAAAAGATGAAATCTTCGGTTATGAAAGTTGCGGCTGCCTGGAATTCTACGTTATCAATATTCTTATCAAGGAAAATTGTATTTTAATTAAAAAATTCATTGAGACTGGAGTGTGAAATTTTTATCAAATTTTCTAACAGTAATTTTATCAAGTTTTATATTTTTGTTAGAGAATGTTCATGTTTACCGAACACTCTCTGAAAATTGTTGGCTTAGTTTTTGCTCCAACTAAAAATTCACTAACTTTAAAATTTCAAACTTTCACATCCGAAATTAGGCAACCAATGGCAAGACGCTTTTTTTTGCAGTTAAGATCATTGCTTATGGCAGCTTCGGATGTTCTTGCTGAAATCGAAAGAAGCTTCCATAAATTACAGGTACTCAAATCATCTTTAACACCAGTTTTTATCGTCCTTTTTTAAGGAATTATTTATCAGTTAACATTTCGAAATGTAGATTATGTGAGAAAGCTAGATTTGATTATTGTGTATGTGTGAATCGGCGTAGCATGATATTGACTTTCACATTACTCATAAATCAAATGCGATCCACAGTTGTCAAATACTTCTATGATAACACTGAGAAAAAAGAAAACGATTTAAAACGGGTGGCGGATGATGAGACAGTCAGAAGTTACCTTGTAATGAAAGCAGTCTCTGTATAACTTTTTAAATCTTTATATTTCGTAATATTTTCTTCGAAATTTTAAAATTCCATTTTTCCATATTATTTGTGGTTAATGTGATATGAGTTATTTCTCTTATTTGAGCATGTTATCAATAATTTCAGGAATCGAAAGATTGCCATTCTTTGCTCAAGAAACATTTATCTAAAGTCAAAGTGAATCAGCTGAAAGATAAAAAGACAAAACTTGGTGCAACGCTTCTGGATGTCATGCAGTCCGGTCAGTTTCGCATTTTATTGCTTATTAATGAATGAATGTATAAAAGTATACGAATTGAAAAAAATGAAAGACATTGAATTGAGTATTGAATGATTTATGGCCAACGGACGATTTTTGATTTTATGTTTTGATCATTTTTGGGAATATTTACACACACGATGGTAGTGGTTCGCACCATTAGTAGCCATTAGTAGCAAAAAAAATAATACTGCACTGAATAATGTTTTTTTTTTCAAATTTAACATAACGGATCCTTTCTGTAATATAGGTGTAGCAAATCTTGATTCTGGTGTACGACTTTTGTTTTTAACAAGCTTTATATACAGTTCCTGTTGTATATACAATAGTCACTAATATTTGCTTTTCAACACATTGATCACTAGTGTTACCAGACATATTGACCACTAGTGCTTTCCAAATATAATATATTAAACTGTTTTTTAATCAAATCCTAAATTTATAAACATTACCGTCGACTTCCTCTCATACATGAGTCTTTTGCACCTTTAATCTCTTTCTAAAGAATCACTTTACAGGTATTGGGACAGCTTATCAAAGGTTTAAAGGCAGTTGAGCAAAGTTTACCGTTCTCTAGAGATCCACGTCTTGGTTGGCTTACTTCTTGTCCAACAAATCTGGGTACTACAATACGTGCATCAGTGCACATACGTCTTCCAAAGATTAGCATAAAACCAGATTTCAAGAAGATATGTGACGGATTGAAACTTCAGGTATGTTCAGGCTTTCTTATTTCTTTTCATAAGAAAAATTATATTTATGGATTTATTTGATATACTCCGAAATACAAAGAAATTCAGTTGAATTTTACTTTCAGATTTTAATCCATCATATTTCATTTCATGATATGACTTCACTTTGTACAAAAGATTAACCAAGTTAAAAATTTATTACTCCATTAAATGGACTTACTCTCAACGAACTGACATTGATTAACAGGACAAAGCGAATAATCTGATTATATTTCCGTTCCATTTTGCTTAACATGTTAGAGCTTCCAACCTAAATGTAATGCACTTCTAACATACGTGGCATGCATGGAGAACATTCGGAGTCAGCAGGTGGTGTTTACGATATCTCAAATAAGGCTCACCTTGGATTGACGGAATTTGAGGCCGTGAAACAGATGCACGACGGTGTGAAACAGCTTATCGAAATGGAGGAGAAGGCTTAAATAGAACGTTTAACTTAAGAAATTGAAAAAAAAATTGCATTCTCATTTTCAGCTCAGTTTACAAATTTCATACAATTCATTTCTTAATTTGATATTTATAGAAATAAAGCACAGTGTGCAATGTTTGCATACACTTTCCAAAAAAGTAATGTTTATCAACATCATAACTAATTAAGAATGGATCATACCTTGTGCTGTCCGATGCTGCTTACACTGGATTCCTTTTGCGTTAGGCACTTAGTATGACTATGGGTAAATTTGCGAAAGTTTTCTAAGATTCATAAAACTTCACGACCATACCAAATTGGATGTGCTCTACATACGAGGAAGTTCGGACGGTCTTATAATGATGCTATCTATTGAGCTTGGCACATTTTGACTTGTATTTACAATTCGATCTGTCTTCTTCTGATTGACATAAATCCATGGTCGCACTGTAACATATCAGTTATGTCCATACTAAAAGAAGTATTACACATAGTTGTGTTACATATAAAGAGATCTAATTCTCGAATCAAATCTCTTTAATTGTTAATCATTACTTGATCTTACTGAAATTCCGTTTATTTGTTTTACTGAATGTGGATGCAAAAAAAGCCTCTACTACCTTACAAACACAAACTTTACTAATGACGTTTCATCTTATGTCACTAGTATTAAGTAGTAGTTAATACATGGTGACATAAGATGAAACTACTGTATTAACTGACAATAAGTGACTTATTGTCAGTTAATACAGTAATAGTTAATACAACCGACGGATAAGCGATGAATTATAAAGCAAAATATTTGGTTATCGGCAGAGTTACCTTATGTTCAACCTAAAATCCTTAGTTTTATTATGAATATTTGAGATGAAACTAACCAGCTGTTCCACATGGCCTACCAGTTATTCCCTCGCATATACGTCCTCCCCAGTCATAATGACCTAGTTTCTCGTTGCATGAACAAAAAATCTGAAAATCATTTTAAAAAACTTTCCAAATTTATTCCACATTCGATCTAGTTTGATGAAATTTTGCAAGATAACTGCAAATCATTATGCTTGAAACTAAGATCTAGGAAGCCGCTCGTATTAAAAAAAGACAATTAAGTAGAATGCAAGCTAAACGATTCCTCGACTTCTAAAAACTTACTTTTCCTCGATGTTCGTTCAAAGACATCCATTCCATAGGTAAAATAAAATAAGCTAAATTGCAATCCATTGTCTCGATTGTTCCATCGTCAGTAACAGTACCAGATGTTAACACTTTGTGTTTCATGATGTGCCTATCGCTGAATAAAATTTTCCTACATTTACGACACCGGTATTCGACACTCGTGGAATCGACCAAGTCTGGTAAGTTTTTGTCCACAGAAAATCTTGCAGATAAAGCTAAACAATCTGTAAATTTTATCAAATATACTTGCCATGCAAAACACGTGCACTTGTCACAAAAGTGTGCTTATCATGTTAGAATATTAAACGTCATATTCAACTGTGACAGTTCTCTAGCTTTAATATTTTTGATGGCAGACTGGACATTGACTGATACATTAGAGTTCTAATGGAATCAAGGATTTTCATTTTCATCCAAATATTACAATATGAGGTACTTAAAGTGTTCTATAAAAATCAGGATTCTATGTTAACTCTAAATGGTCCTATTGTTTTTATAAAAAATTATAAACAATTTAAGCTATTAGGTTAATAATACCGTCAGCTGAAGAGTTATTCAATAACCAATTTTTGTATGGCGAACACTGCGAAATGACTTGTATATCGGCAATAAAATGACAACTTTCGAATATTTGTAACTGTCGCATAAAACCATCATTTGGTCTGATCATAGCAATATATGTTTTTCCATAATTCTCAGTTTCATTTAACAATAGGATTAGAAATTGATGTTTGGAAGGTTGGATTTTGAAAAATAAATTCCTTTGTTTTCCTGTCATTTAAGAGTACAAACAAATTTGGTTAACGAGAAATCGTTGCTATACAATGTACGACCAACGATCCTTCGTGATAATTACAATGCCTTACAAAAGAAATCTGTTAGCGCAAGTATCGATGATTCACAGAATTTAATGAAATGAAACGAATTGTTGGAAAGTGCTAGAAAGTGACTCACAGCGCTATTGGTCGTATCCTCTGTATGTATTTAATAACTTTTGAAAATGACCATTTTAATTTTTGCATTAGATAAGCAGCAACAACAAAAACTGAACGTGATATGCCAGCTTCACTGAAAAAATCTTTACAGTAAATTCTATATTATTTAATCATTCTACATTATTCATGACATTACGCTATGCCTTGGTCCTAAATTTGAACAAGGAAATAAAGCTTAATCAAACAATATTTCATTATCCCCACTTTCTTTCAATTTACAAACTACTTATATTGTCAATTTTTGTTAGGACTGGTTTATGTCACTTATCTCCTGGACTTCCAACTATTATAACAGCGCAACTGTACTAATCTAAGCTGAAAAAGGCTGACCATTAATTTCGTATAAACGAAAATTAAAACTCAAACGTAACAGTAAAGAAGAAAGAGGAAAAAACAAACATGTCAAGTAATTGCATTAGTCAGAAATTGAGATCTAAACGTACCAGTGTACAAGGATTCGCCCATTATTTTCAATACTTGTTCTGATGTACGTTAGCGCATTCGCTATAACACACAAATATCAAACATTAGATAATGCAAAAAAACGTACACATAAACTGCCAATTATATACGATATTTTATATGCTATTAATTCAAATATTGTTTTAATACAAAAGTACTCGAAATAAATGGAAGCAGGAAAGATAAGGAAAGATAAGACAATGTTTCAGACACAAAATATTCTCAGCTCTTCTTTCACTTGAAATAAATAAGTGCTCAAAGATAATACCTAATAAATCTCCAGCGAACATATCTTGTGTATCCGTGTCTAGTGCAAAAATAAACATATAAGATATTCCAACAATTTGTTTTTCCATCGGAATAGCTTCTGCTGCTATTGTAAGAATATGGCTGATCTAAAACAATACTTACTGAAACATTCTGAAAATTAAAAGTGTTATCGTCGTCATCTTTTGGAAGCGTGAAAAAAATAATGCTGAAAAATATAAAACTATTGCTTTTAAAAAACTGGACAGAAAATTCTTTATGCTAAAAAAATAAAAAACTCAGTTTTGGAAATGAAAAACCCCGCAAATTTTAAAAATAAATAACCTCACTGGGAATCTTAGAACTCTTCATATGATAAGGTAGAAGACAAATAAAACAAGGGCAACAAAAATCGCAAACCTTTAATTCATTTCTAACTCGGTCAATCCTACATTCGTTTAAAACATCCTGCATATCACCCAGATATAAATTTTCGATTATTCTATCAATCATTGCCGACCTTTCCTCGATTCAAATAGTTTCTGCTACAAAATAATCTGTGAAGAGAAAAAAAATTTCCCCAATTAAAACAATAATTAACTTTTCAAATTTCAATAATTTCGAAATATTTCAAAACAAATATCATATTTAAATGGAAATTTTTCAACTAACCTTTCCAGCTAACTTATCATCAAATGCGTACAATTAAAGGTAACACACACCTCATCTCAACATCTTACTTATATCAACTTGATGACTGCTATGTAAATTCCAATCCCATCGCATTCTTTTCTGCTTCTACAAATTAAATTTATCTAATCATCCATCAATGGAAGAGGATGAGTACGCTGGCTGATAACTCAAATCACGTGTATGCTAACGTAACTACGTTTATGCATACGTAATGCGTTTGTATGTGTAAAATGCATATGTATACATATATAATGTATATGTGTAATGCATATGCATAGCGTACACATGTACATATGTGCATATTTTGAAGTGTGTTTGCTAAGAAGGGTGCAAATTTTGAGAACGGAATTCAGGCAGACATAATGAAAATGAAACCACGTAAATGAGATAATCAAAGGAAACTAGAAATTTTTATATCAGTAAAAAATACGTGAACTTTGTCGAAACAGAATGAAAGAGTGGACAATAATCACTGCATAAATTTAAATAATTACCAAAACGTTTGAAATTCCTCAAATAAATTCAAATTTACAATGATATGATAAAATCTTATTCCACTGTTACATCAAAGCATACTGATTTTTATTTTTATAGATAAACGATCTCTTTTTCCTCCCTTTTCTACTGAACGAAAAATATGAATAGTGATTGGAAAATAATTGTTGCAAAAAAAAAGAAAAGCCAACATGTAGTCGGGAATTCAATTAATGAAGTTAACATAGAACCATTAAATGCTTTAATAAACAACTTCTGTAATCATAATAAGAATGCTAGAAATAGCAAATTGAATTAAATTGTTAGAGTGAAAAGACTTTTCCAAGACTGAAAGATTAAAGGAATATTTTAAAATGTTAAATTATCTCTGAATTATTAACATTTTTTCTAATTTAAATGCCAATTGATAGATATGAAAGAAGCTTGCATCAGTTATATTATTTATAAAATCCAATTAATTGAAGTAAAAAATTGTTATTGAAGTTAAATTAATCCGTGTGACTGAAGTGAGGCAAATTGTATAATGCATGTATAGAAAGAGTTTTTTTTGGAAGATGGAAAAATTTTGCTAAAATTCCATCTCATTTTTTTCACCGTTTCTTCTTTTTTGTTTGCTCTCATTATTTCATAATTCGTATCGTTGGATGGCATATTCTATTATAGAATGAGTTGTAGCAAAAATTGGTGTCAGTTACAGCCTCCAATAAACTAATCATATCGTTTTAGTTGTTCCATTCGATGTTTTCAAAATTTTCGTTCCCAATTTTATTTTGAATAAAAAAAGATTAGTGGGAACAATTTTTTTACGTTCGATTAAAAAGAGTTTAATGGAAGCATAACTTTATTATTGTTGAAGTGGTTATGAATGATAAAACGATGAGATTGGTCAGAAACGTGAAACATTTATTCCAATGCTTTAAAAAGCAAATAGTTTTTTTTTTCTTATGCAAGGTACGACAAATTCATCTAACACTTTATAAAAGCCGACGATAATTTATAGCGTTTCGACAAATTTCATTTTTCATCCAAATTCATCGTCAAGTTTGAAGGAATTGACATGTGGTGGTACGCCAATCAAATGATGATATTCATATTTTTTGCTCCAATTTACCCAACACTTCCCACAGGTTAGTTATTCTTAATTAATAAAAAATAATAAATAAAAGTTGGATATGTAAACTTATTGTGAATTTTACGAATAATAAATAAAAATTGGAATGTAAATTTGTCCTTTTTTAGGTCAATTGATGATAAAGTTAAATCCTGACTTACCAGGATTATCTTATTCAAATAATACTTTATCATTAAATACTACTGATTTAATGAAACTGGAAGAGTTTCCTGGGAATAAGTCAGACATGTGTGAGATATCGTCAAATAAAAACTGTACGGATACGCCAACTGTTCTCAATGCTACCAATTTCATGAACGAAACGTTAGAGAATGAAAAATTGATTAATAAAACTGATTTGATCGAAATTATTGCACAATCGACGCAGCTAAAATTTAAAAATTCCGATAGCTTGATCTTCGATGCAAATTTAACCGATTCGAATCTGTCCATTGCTTCGGGAAATGAAACGTCTACTTTAATAGCATCAACAAACATTGAAATTAACAACTCAGTATCAAAATTAGTAACATTACAGAATGTGACGCAAAATGATACATCTGAATCCGAAAATATTCCTGGCCCTATAAACGATTCCACCAAAATGATGCAAATAAAAGCTGCTTCAAAAGTCGTGCGAGAACTGGATTCTGAATTAAAAGTAAATGCTACGGGTGTAAACTGTGTAAATGATATATATGGACTGTCTGAGATGAAATCCGATACTGAGCAAATGCCTTCAATAATAAATATAATTTTGGCATCGGAGCGACCGTCCATAAAATCGAACCTTCGAAAACTTCTTGAAATAGTCCGTGATGCATCCAGCGTTTTACTGCAATCATTTGCTAGAACAGCAGTAAGCGGTAATATTACACTGATTGGCGATAACGTGACATTGGTTGACAGTGATACTGCTAATAGTTCCAGTGTTTTCGACAATGGAAGTAAGAATTTACTTTCTGAACTTTCTGTAATTCTCAGAAGCTATCGATAGCACATGATAGTACAAAAAAACATACGAGCTAGTGATTGTTTGCTGACTTTTTTTGCACATTTTGTAGAATTCAATGATGTTTGCAAAAGTTTTTCTAATATTTTCTTTTGAACAGATAACGGAAAGAGATGTAAGAAAAAAAAACATTCGAAATAATTATAAATTTGAAGCTAACAAGGATTTATTATGAATAATATTAATTATTGTTTTTCAGATGTTTGCTCAAAAGGATGGACATATTTTCCTAAAACAAATTCGTGTTATTTCGTGGTATGTTTCTTTTCTTTGGATAATCTTTCCAAGTATTTTTAATTAATCGGATCACATTCAATATCCAATCGTGATATATAATAATCGATTGATCAATACTGCAAAAATTACAAACAGTCTGAAATTAAAACATTCTCAAATTTTTTAAATGAACAAAATTAAAGATTTGAAGTTGAGATTTAATTAACTTTCAGCACAATGAAAAGTAAAAGCACAAATGTCAGAAATTTTTTTAAAGAAGAAAAAAAAATCTGTTGGTTGGGATAAAAATTTTATTAAGCTAACATTTTCATGAAACTAAGAAATTGGGATTACTTTTAAATGAAGGATTGTTTTGTTTGTGCAAAATTTTGAAATTAGAAAATTCAGGGACAAAATTCAACCAGTCATCGTAATGCTTTGGCAGAATGTTCCGCACATCATGCATTCTTAACGTCCATCACTAATTCTGATGAAATGGATTTTATCAACGGTATGTCACTTCACTTTATCATTAATTTTCTATAAATAGTGCAGGAAGAATGGTATGTGTTCATTGCAATTATGTAGGCAGTCACGTGAAGCCGCACATCTATCTTGCGTCATTCATTCTGTCTGAATTGAAATTCATGGTTAATAAATTTTGAAACTTCACATATAGTGATTTATTAAAATTCATTTATCAAATTCACAACAAATTTGAGATAAAAAGAGAAAGAAAAAAAGTATTGAATTTTTCAGGATTGGTTGGAAATGATACATATTTGATTGGTTTATTTAAAGACGACAATCAATGGTTTTGGATTGATAATAATACGGAATTGAATTATACAAATTGGCGCAAATTAGAACCAAATGGTTGTTGCGGAGTGAATGTAAAATGTGTTGCGGCAAACTGGAACGGAATGACGGATGGTCAATGGAATGATATCGATTGTGAAGATAGCTCTCCGGCAAATTTTGTATGCAAAAAGAAACTTTAATCCATTAAATACGCATTTAGCAGCATCCTTTATTATGAATTATCTGCTTCTTTCAAGTGATTATATAACTTAATTTACTAATGTTATTTGAAATAAATTGAAATGAATTACAATTATCTGTGGAATTCAATATGCTATTGATGCATTTCGATTTTTAATAAATTTAACGGATTTAATTTTAAAGCAAATTAAATCATACTAGAATAAATCAAATTTTACCAGATTTAAATATTTAGTTGTTTAAGCCAAAAGTAGATACGTCTGTCTTCTGTTTGTATTAATTGTAATAATTTTAGCAGAAAATTATATCTTCTGGATGTGCAATACCTTGAGCTTTTTTAATTTCAATATCAGAATTCATTTTCAATATCTCAAAATGAAATCAATAACTAATAAGATCGAAATGATTATTACGGACGAAAAACAACAAGCAGATGCTATCGTAACCTGAATGGCGTATTTGACACAAAAAATTTGCTTCAATCCAAAATTTCGCTCCTTCCAATGGCTGAAAATAAAATAATTATGAAAAGTATTATGATTAAATGAAAAAGGATAGATATTGCGATTAGTTGAAAATTTTTTGTCTTGCTACGGTTGAACTTTTAAATTAATCGATTTATTTATTTTTTTAGAATTAGTTTTGTTAGTAGTATAAATGCATCCATTTCATATTTCGCATCAAATGGATGCATTTGTACTAATAAAAAATACAAATACATACAATGCAGAAAATACACACACACACACACGCATGCCCTGTACAAATATTGCACTCCCCTTATTAAGAATTCTTTTTTGATGGATAGATTTCATGTTAGAATTTAAGTTTTTGTTTTAGTGAATCCAATACTATTTAAGCTTTGCTTTGGAAATTTACAAAGAAAGCAATTTTTTCTACAAAATATATACAATAGTCTAGTCTGGAAATAAATATTTAAAGTAATGCTAAAATGTGAAATTAAATCAATAAGAGTTTATCCTGAAGTATCATTGATATACATCAAAATTATAAAATTATAGGTATAGTTGAATAAATTGAAGAAAATTTTAAAAGTTACTCGATATCTTTTATTACAATATATTCATAATTAGTACCAATTTGCTATCACTTTTGTAAGTAAAAAATTAGAGGAATGCTATATTTGATTTCTTTACTCATTGTTAAATAATATTACTATTAAAAAGTAATTGCAGGTATAGTTGAATGATTTGCAGGAAATGACTGTATCATATCATCTTGAATTAGCATCCTTATCACCATTAGTAATTCTTCGTGTATTATTTCGATGGAAAGGAAGTGTTTGGAAGTATATCTATAAGGAATTACTAATCTGGACTATATTTTTCTTAGTTATTTCATTCTTTTATCGATCAAACTACTTTCTTAATACTAAGCAAAAAACGTATATATTTTATTTAGATTTATTTATTAATTTTAGTAAATTACTGTTAAATTTTATTTTAAATTCTTTACCTAAAATGAAACAAATCAAAATATGACAAGAAATTTTTGTTAAATTCTTTAACTCATTTTATTGCAGCATTTTCGAAAATTTAGCTCATTATTTCGATACACGATTAGAATACATACCTATCACTTTCATTCTTGGCTTTTTCGTCGATACGATATTATCACGATGGTCTGATATTTTTATAAATATGGGTTATATTGAATCGTCAGTTGTTTTTTTTTTCAAATTTTGAAATTATTTGAGTTTTTATAGGCAAACACTGAAAATAAAACTGACATCTAGTAAAATTTCTGAAATAGAAATTAGTGCAAATATTTTGGTCTATATTGATTATAAAATTCATCAAATAAAATTTTAAGTGTTGTTTGATATTTGCTCTGATGAAAAAATAGTATTATTTTCAGATATGTATTATTTATTGCTAATTATATTCATGGTAAGGATGAAAATACGAAACAATTGCGCCGAACTTTAGCGCGATATTTATGTCTTACACAAATATTTGTGTTCCGTGATATCAGTGCTCAAGTAAAAAAACGTTTCCCGACTACTGATAGCATGATCAATGCTGGTGCATAACTATTATTTCTTTCTTTATTAAGCATTTAACATTGAAGAGCTTTTGAAAAGATATGAGAAAGCAAAGAAATGTTGGTTGTCAAAGAGCTTTAAGTGGAATTTTATATAACAATAGTCTGTTTTTAGAATAATTGCGCCAGTTTTTTATCGTATTTATGAATAATGTGTGCAAATATTTTAAAATACTTTGAAATGATATAATCGTAATAAAAATTATTTTTGCAGGGATTCTTTTAAAAGAAGAAAAGGAGAAATTAGACACAATTAAACTTCAGTATAATAAGTATTGGGTACCAATACGATGGATTCATTCTATAGCGTTGAAAGCGCGAAAAGAGGAAATAATCACTTCGAATTTATTATATTGGAAATTATGCGCTGTAAAATTTTACAAAAAAAATTCTAATTTTTATCTATTAAATGATTTCACTTCCTAATTTCAAATTTTACAGTTTTATTCCATTCAATACTTGAAAAATATTTGAGCAGAATTTCAGGAAGTTGACAAATTTCGTTACAATTTACAACTGTTATACAATTATGATTGGGTACCTATACCACTGGTTTACTCACAGGTATAACTGCTATTAATTTTCGGTTTTCCTGATTCATTATTTGTTTATCTATAAATTTTATGAAAACTATTTAGGACGAAATTTTTCGTTGAAAATAATATACTGTTATTTTTAACTTGGTTTATTGTTATTTATGAACCGCATAGAATAAATTAATTTAAAATAAAGTGATTTTTTTTCAAACCGTTATGATAAAATAAATGAGAGGTGGCATGAAAAGGCCTTTTCTTTCCTATAATTTCCTTACAGACAACATTTCAAGCAATAAATTGTTTCGTGCAAATGTATAATATTAATGAATGGCAATAATTTAGGTAGTATTCCTAGCAGTTTACGTATACTTCTTTGTATGCCTTATCAGTCGACAATTCATCGTTAGTAAAAATAATATCGTTAATGATGTTCGTTTTGCTATTTTAGTACATTTCACTCGTCAAATTGAATTGAATTTTTGAAATTACACTTCAATTTGAAATAATAATTTACGGAATGTCAAAACGTGTTTTTTTTTCAATTATGGTGTTATTTTAAAGTGCTAATATTTCAATTTATGCACAATTGATAATTTTGCTTGCAAATTTGAAAAAAAGAAACACTAATTTCAAACGTAAGAATTAATCGCCAATGTGAATATTTGAAATCGGTCAATATTTTTAACTTCATTTTTAACTATTATCTATTCGAAACATTTTTTCTAATATTTTACTCTATTATTATAATAGTTTATCGGTATCGATTATTTATTGAAATAAATCGAGAACAAGGTTCAAATTCTCTCTTATAGCTTGATTTGATAGTACCGATGGTGACAATGATAGAGTTCGTGTTCTTTACTGGTTGGTTAAAAGTTGCACAGGCATTGCTTAATCCATTCGGTGACGATGATGATGACTTTGAATGCAACTATCTTATCGATAAAAATCTTGCTGTGAGACTTTTATCAGATTCCGAACTTTTGAAAGAAATGGAAAAAAAAAATTTTCATGTAATGCAACATTTTCTCAAAAATAAAGGATCATATATCATCTGTAGTTAATGCGGAATTATTTTCAATCGTAATTTAATTCATTAGATAAATTAGTTTATTTTCATTTAAGACACTCTAACCGTTAATTCATCGGAACAATTTATGTAATGCGACTTTTTCTAAATAATCCAAATAGTAGCAATCTGCTCCCATATAAATTTACTTCCGTTAGATTGATACAATAAAGTTAAAATTTTCTTTTTTATATTGAAGAGTAATTTCAGCATTAAAATGATTATAGTGTGCTTTCTTAGTAAAAAACATCCGATTTTTTCAAGCAAAACACTTTAGACAAGTTTCTGTATTGTTGACAACTATGATCGTGTACCGGAAATACGCCCTGATCTTTTTTGGCGAAGCCACAAAGGATTCTCTGCTTCCACAGATACCACTTTAATTAGATCAACCGCAAATTTCAAGTACGCTTTTTTGATTTATGGAGTGTTCAATACGAATGTTAGCTGCTTACTGCAATCTCGTAAATGCAGTACTTACGCATGAACTCTCTTCAGTTCCATTAAATTTACAACGCATTTGGATGTATTCAAAATCTTTTTTCATCTATTTTATTTCAAGATTAAAGTTAACGATGGAACAAATCGAAATGGTAAATTATCGTTCGCAATCGGTTTCCTTCAATTCTCGCCACAGATTGTCACAAATTTCGCTGTATGGTTATAATCAAGGCGAAGAGAGGTTAGAATAGTTATTCCTATAGATTTCTCAGTGACGATGATAAATTGGAGGAAACGGGTATGAAAATAGAAACATGCAGTTCTTTCATCTCCCAGCAGCTTATTTCATTACTAAAATTAATTAATTTCATGAATATCACAGCTAAAATGCTTAAAGTCTAAATGCAGTAAATTATTCTGTGGTTAATAATATGTGCTTTAAAATTATTTGGAATAATTAATAAGAGCAGGGCATGCAACATTTACAAAAATGTAGTGTTAAAGTAGTATTTAGTAGTTAACATTGCATACAACTGCAGAATAATGAAGCATAATCAAATATCATCAGAATACGACGACTTACAAACCGCTGGTCTGGAAAAAACTATGAATGTGATGGCATCAAACCCCAGTAAGCTATTGGAATATTGTTTTACTATGACGTTGCTTCGCATATATGCCCAAATCTCAGTCAGACTGAGTATAAATCAAAAATAATTTAGTCTACTGTGAAGATATCAGAAATTTAGTGCTTTTTCTTTTAGATCTTTTTGAGGGACCGATCAACAGAACACCGTTACAATTAGTGCAATATAGTACATCGCAAACTAATTACTTTGTACCATCGGATCTCACCATGGACAGCGACAAAAACAATAAAGCAAAAATTGCTCGACTATAAATCTTCAATTCATCCTCGAATATGATCATGGAGGGACAGAATCAAAGCTTAATGGACGTAAATTTTTCTCCAAACATCCAATCACCCATGCTAATTTATCTTCCAAAATGCTTTTCATCTAATATCATTCGTTCAAAACAGACAAATACTTTATTTAATAACTAGTCAACAATATTTGACGTTATGCAAATCTATTATGATTTGCACCAGACTGAATATCACACTTTCAAAGTAATAGAAGTTGATTTTCAAATGAAGAACTGAGCAATTATTAATGGATCAGTACCAATACATTCTTAATGCATTTCCATAAGGATAATTATATGACGAATAATTATCCTTCTGCAAATACAAAAGAAAAAAATGAATCGATGAGGTGATAAACTTAATTAAATGAAGATGGTAAGTAATCGAAAATATTTGTTAGCGCAATGTCATGAAAACGATCAGAAAGAGTAGGATATGCATTAATAATAGCGCGTGCAGCGATGTAAAATAGAGTTGGCGGTTTGATCCAACATCTCTGCAGCTGATTTGTCCGTCTTTCGAATTTTTCATCCGTTGTACCACCAAAAACGTAAATGCAACCTTCCTGCAAATAAATATTTTCTTTTAATGAGCTGAAAAAATAATTTTCGTTTTATATCAAAAAAGGGATAAATTTCCATAACTTTGAAGACATTATTTCTTGATCCATAAATTTTATATTTTTTAGAACAAAATGACTTCACGTAATTTTTAGCACAAGAATTATTGGTCCTACGTGAAGGCATTTTCACGTAGGACCAATAATTTCTTTCATTCCATAAAGCATGAGGATCGAAAAAAAAGTTTTCGATCCTCATGCTTTATGGAATGAAAGAAATCTCCAAAATGTTTAATCTAGACACTCAATAAAAATTAGAACTTCTATGACTCCGAAGACAAATTAGAAGCTACACGAGTTCTTTCTCATGAAGATTATTGAAATAGAAATACTTGCACATACTGGAGTAACAGTAGCTGCGTGGAAACATATCTGCTGATTTAGTTCACCAGACAACAATTTCCAACGCCATTCCTTCAGATCAAGTTGCCAACAATCTTGGAGCAACCTCGGGCGCTGCAAAAATCGCGCATTCAAATTTAATCGTGAATCCCTCCCTTCCCAAAGGAATAGAGACTTCTTCTTCCCCAACGCTCTATCTCATGTTGCAACAAGCTTGCACATATTGCAAAAATCCATGAAATATTTTCGAAAAGCGTCATGTAAGAATATATTATTTGAATATCTATTAGTAGATGTCACATAAAAGAAAAATTAAACAAATTGTTTGAGGACAAAAAAAAATACCAAAACTATCCGATCAATAAAGCGGTGCATTACTGACTTTTCTGTACAACCACCAAGAATGTAAGCATTATTTCCAAATTTTACGCAACCGTAATATAACCGACCCTTAACGATTAACTGCCAATTATGAATAGATAATACTTTACATATTTACACCAACTTCTACTTTGTTTCTTGCAATTTCTTTATACTACTATAGATATAGACTAATAAAATGAAAAATTAATGAGTCTTTAAATTAAAATAAAACATACTGCTGGATACCCGTGGTTGGTGTCAGGTAAGGTTATTTGGGTGCGAAAATTTTTTTCGGATATATTGAATACCAATAGCTAAAAATCGAAACATATATAAATATAACATAAGATTAGCATTTGATAGAATACCTGAGTTTTTTAAGATGTCATTAAATGTTTCATTTACTTGGTTTCTCTTAAAATTAAAGCAAATTAAATCTAAAAAGTTTTAGATAGAATCACTTCGTATTGAAATACTTGAAAAATACTTCATACTTGTAGCATATATTTTCAACGCACAAAATGCCTTATTTTTTTGTAACCGATCATCTGCAGTAAAAGCGAACCTCTGTAAGTGGTGAAGTCCATTCCGGAGTACCACCTCCTATCAGTATTATTTCATCGTTAATAACTACAGCTTCGTGTCTGTAACGACCGTTGATACCTGATCCATTCTAAAAAATTATTTGGATTCTTCCAAATAACTTTTAATTGCTCAAATCAAAAAAAAAAACACGCGAGAAATTGGTACCGAAGAAGAAACAAAAAAATTATAATTACATGAAGAAGTGTCCATTTCCAGCGAATTGGTTCTCGTCGACCTGCATAATCTTTGTTACCACTGAATTCAGGTTCTAAGCTACGAACTTCTAAATTATATTCCCAGCCAGTAGTTCCACCAAACACATAGAATTTTCCATTATTATGTACAAGACACTGAAAAGGAATGGCTCGAAAAACAATGATAGTAATTTTTTAGTAGTAACCAAAAATGACATAAAGGGAAATCTGAAGATTCAAAAAAAATGAATAAGATGTTAATAAATGCAATTTCCAACAAGCCAGGTTAGACCAGTAATAGATCTCCTGAGAACTGAAAAAGTGTCATGTTTTTCAAAGAAATTTTCGAAAACCTAATAGTTATTCATCGGGATTCGTTTGTTTCTCTCTCCTTCATTTATTTTGAGTCTTAATGTTCCACTATTAAGAACCAAAGTAGTTAATCATATCTTTTACAACTAATAACTGACACTTACTGAACCATATTGCTTAATGGGTACATCACCAATGGTTTTCAATTCTTTCCAAATAAAAGTTTCATCCTTTACGCGCTTAAGTACGTTGACTGAATTAGAAGCTGTTGTACCGAATGGGACTGCGGTTCCACCAAACATATAAAATTCAGATAAAATCGGTTCACCGAAAAAACAACCTAAAGGATATAGGAAATGCGAATGAATAAAGAAAATTTTTTAACCCCAATACTGTAATATGATTTATAAAATACTTTTCACAGAGAACGATATTTCAGAGAATGGTAACAAAAAATGACACAAATGAAATAACAAATATCTGGTGAATAGATATGATAAGAAGAACCCTAAAATTACTTGCAAATGATGCCAATTCTTCTGGAAAATCTTTTTCCGGTATGGACATCAGTTCCCAGGTATCAGTCAGAACATTGAAACGCCAAACTTCCTAAACTGTATTCCAGAAAATTTATGGGTAATATAACAAATTATAAGGAATAATTACAAAACAATGAACATATGATGCGCTCATTCGATCAAAATATGGCGATGTTCAAACTGTTACATTAATTCATTACTTTCAATTTACTCTTTTCTTGGTTTTAAAATATCGCAATTAATAAATTTTCCTACTTCATTTGTTACGATAATCGATATCAGTCAAAGTCTTTAACGCCATATTTAAAATGCTATCGAAAATGAATCAGACTAAAAGCCATGTCAGATGTTCATCCAGATCGATATTATTTTCATTCTGACCAGTTTTCGATACGGCATAATATGCATTATCTTTCTAGAAATTACTTTCTAGAAAGATAATGCATTATGCAGTATCGAAAGCTATATAGGAACTGATAACTGCCCATTACTAGCAGAAATACAAATTCTTATGTTATGAATCCCAACTCCCCTCACGATTATCAAAAGAATTTTGTGAAGTCATTTCCTTATAGTTCCATCTGTAGACCTCTTAATTTGTAGCTTTATATGTGACAGACCCCTGCAAGCACAGATTCTCGTGAAGGTGA